CTGGGGGATTCTGGGAGTTGAAGTCCACAGGACTTCCAAGTTGTCACGGTTGAGAAACACTGCACTAGAAGGCAACACCACCACGTGGTTCTCCCTTAATTTGCCCCCCCCTCCTCATCTGGGGGAATTGGCTCAGAGGAAGCCAGGCTACCAAAGGACCCGGGAGCTGGACGCCATCAAAGCCGACACCAGGAAGAAGCGGGGGGCAAGGTCAGAAGTCGTGGAGAATCGCCGAGAACCGGACGCGACCGAATGGGTAACGTGATCCTCATCCTCTTGTGTGTGTGGGGGAGATCTGTCCAACCTGGCTGCCCTCCTTCACCCGGCCCCAGGGTTCGAATCCACCGACCGAGGGCCCTAGCTTTCCACTCCCCCCCCCGCCACGCGTCCACGCAAAGACCAGTCCGAGACCCAGATTTAATGAACATTTATTTATATACAGGCTTATACACATAGTTCCCAAACAGAGGGATTTCGCCCTCTGCCCCTTCAGTGCTGACTTGTCTGCATCTCATTTACAGGCCACATCAATTCTACACAACCCACCGGACAACAACGGGGAGAGGGAGGGAGGGAGGGAGGGAGGGAAGGCAGCCTCTTCCAGTTCGCCCAATTCTGCCCAGGGACCCCTAAGTCATGCACGTTTGCCTGCTGCCCCCCCCCCCCCCTTGGCAAGGAGGGGCCGCAGCCCTCCGGAGGAAAAGCTGCCAGCCACGCGGGCAGGATTCCCGAAGAACTAAGGCCTTTCAGGATGGCGGCAAGTGGCAGGATCAAATGCTGGGGAGAGGGGCTGGGCACAGACCCCCCAAGGGGGTCTCTGCTAGGCTAGGAGGCTACAGCAGCTGCCCCACACCTTAGAACGCCCCACGGAATTTATCCAGAGATGTGGAAGGCAAGGCGGGGTATCGTTCCCTGCTAGGATCTCTCCCATCCCAAGAGGAGCCCCCCCCCAAAGCCCCCGCCCCTTCCAAGCTTCCCCGGGGCTGGGGGAATGCACGACCTTTGACCTCCCTGAACAGTGGGAGGGGGGGGTCTTGCTCTAGGAAAACAGGGCAGCCAAGCACTACAGCAAGGGGTTTGCTCCCCACCATGATTTAGCTCCGTTATCTTTTTCTCAGATGGCCAGACCCGCCGAGGTCTCAGAGCATGCACAGAGTGTAAATCTGCACCCCGCTCCCAACCATGAAAGACCTGCTGCTCCTCATTAGATGATCTGAGTTTTGTTTTTAGTCGGTGTTCCAAAAAAGAATTGAAATTAAAGGTGACTTGTACGAAATGCCCAGGGGTTCTACAAATGAAATCTGGATGGCCGTCCCCTCATCTTCACCCTCAGAAGCCCCAATTCTCCGAGGGGCCCCTTGTGCTCAGGATTCAGGCCTTTTTGGCTTTGCCCTCTGATCTTGGGCCCTGCGGGGCGGTGGGGGGGAGGAAGAGGAGGATGGGGGTGCCAGGCACGCCAAGGAAGATCTCCTGCCCCAATGAAGGGGGAAACATGCACGTGCTTGATCCGAGGCCGAGATTCTGCAACCTGAAAGGGCTGTCCGAAATGTCTCTTGGGTCCCTGTGGTAGCAGTTGCTTGGCAGCAAAACCACCACTAAGGGGGTAAGGGTCGGGCGGGAGGAAGTGCCAAAGAAACTGGAAAAAGAAGACGGAGCAACGGGGGGCCTCCGATTCTTCCTGCAAGTGAGCTGTGTTGAGCTTCGGAGGGACGGGTCCTCCAAGTGGCATTCTGGTCGTGCAGCTCCTTCGGTGCAGCTCATACCTGCTGTTCAGATCCTACCTCAGCCAACCCTGAACAACGCGGCCTTGAGAGCAGGGAGAGTGGGGGGGGGGCACCCTAGTGTGCCGGGCTGAAGAAAGTAGTCCCCCGGGGACACACCTTGGGCCTCTGGGCTTCAGTGGAAGCAGGGTCCCTGCTGCGCCCTCAATCTCCCCCCTTCTCAGGCTCTGCTACGGAAGGCCCTCCTCCACGGCTGCTCTTCATGCAAACCCAAACCTTCCCGGGTTCCAGACCGAAGGGCAGAGAGCACATGTGGGGGGAGGAGGGAGCAGTCCCCTCGGCTGCCGTGACTGGCAAGAGGCCTCCACTCCCAGGAAGGCCAATGCTGCTCGGGGCACAAGGACAGGCAGGGCTGGTGTGCTACTTGATGTGCTCGGCCGCGTGCGATGAGCAGTAGTACTTCTTGTGGGCGATGAAGGTGGACAGGCTGCTGAACTTGATGTTGCAAAGGCGGCAAAAGCGGTGGCTGCCGTTGGCCACGGGGGTGGCCAGCCCTTTGCCAGAAGGGGTCTGCGCAGCTTTGTCCGTATGCCCGGAAGGCGGGGTGCTGGGCAGGGCCTCGGGCAGTGGGGAGAGGGGCACGGGGACGGAGGGGGAGAGGGGTAGGAGGGGCTGGGGAGAAGCTGTGGGTCGAGGGCTCCCATTGGACAGGGGAGGGACGGGCGCCTCTTTGCCGTTGAAGCTGTCCTTGGGCAGTCTGGGGGCTGGCTGTGACGGGGAGGTGGCTGGGAGGGAGGGAAGCGGGCTGCCATCCGCCAGCGTCCGGGTGGCCTCTATCAACGCGGGCCCTGCTGCTGTTTTGGTCACAAACAGTCCGTGCGTATTTCGGAAGTGCTCTACCAAGTCTCCCTTCACGGTGCCGTTGACGGGGCAGTAAGGGCACATGGCCAGGGGCACCTTGGCGCCTGCGAGGTGCTGAGCTTTGCCCTCCAGGTGGCGCTGCTGCTGAAGCTGGAGTGGCTCTGCGGCAGGGAAGCCGACTGGTGCAGCCACGGGGCTCACGGAAGGCACCACCTTCTCCACCTTGATCGATACCCCTTCGGGTTCCTCCGCCCGACCCTCCGGGCTGTCTTGGGCCTTCCGAGGGGCTGGGACGGCCCCCTTGATCTTCTGCAGCTGCTCCATGGTGCTGGTCTGCAAGGGCGTGGCCGGGCAGTAGTACTTCTTATGGGCCAGGTAGCTGTCGAGGGTGTGGAAGCTGATCCGGCAGGCCGTGCACTCGTGGTAGTCCGCCAGGGGGAGGAGGGCGGCGGGGAGCACCCGGCTCCCGCTGCTCAACCGGGGCTTCTTGCTGAGGTCGATGGGGCCCTCAGCATCTGGGCTCGAGCTGGGAGACGGGGTGGCCTTGACCACCGAAATGAGAGAGGGGACCACGGGAGGCGCCTCGGGGCGGGGAAGCTCTGGGGCAGCCCCCAATTGTCTGCTGGCGTTGTGGATCTCGTACAGCTTGCGGCGTTTGCGTGTGCGGATCGGCTGGGGGAGGAAGGGCAGCTTGCCGGCCGCACTGCTCCGGCGCAGGGGAGGGTCGTGGCGGGAGGCGCAGTAGTAGCGCTTGTGCACCATGTAGGTCTCGTGGCGGCTGAAGCGGATGTTGCAGGCTTCGCAGACGGTCCGGTTGGGGTCATCCTCTGGTTCCTCCACAGAGCTGGCCCCTGGGCTCGGGCTCCCCTCGCTGATGCGCCCGGCTCCGTCCGTCTCTGGGGAGGGGCTGGCTTTGGCGGTGCCTTCCTCCCCTTTGACCTCTTGCTTGATCTCTAGGGCGGGAGGGGTGGCGTTTCCCTCCGGTTCCCCCTCTGGGGCTGCGCTGCTCTCTCCAGGCGAGAGGCGTGGCCCGGCAGCGGAGGGGCCTTTGGGCGCAGGGGCAGGGGGCGCCGCCTTGGCTTTGCGCGGGACCGAGGGGCTCTCCTCCGCCAGGCGCCGGCTGGAGCAGTAAAGGCGCTTGTGGACGTAATAGTTGTTGATATTGTTGAAGGTGATCTCGCACTCAAAGCAGGTGGCGCCCTTGGGCACGGGGGTGCCTGGGAAGAGGGCGGGCGGCACCCCACCGTGGCCTTGCTTCAGGCGGCTGTGAACCAGCTCGGACATCTTGGCCAAGATCTCGGATGCCTGGGGCAGCACAGAGGCTTCGTGGCCGAACAGGTACTGGGGCAGGAAGACGGTGCCCCCGGAGGTGCTGGCGCCAAGCTCAGTGGGCACCGGGCTGGATCCTGGTGTGGGGCTGGTGATCTCAGACTTCACCTTCACTGAGAGCAGGCTGTGGGGTGAGGGCACCCTGGGGGACGCATCCGCCTCGGCCTCGGCTTCAGGAGCCGCCTCTTCTTGGGGGTCCCCTTGTGGCTCTTCCTCCTCGTCTAAAGGCTCCTCCTTGACCTTCACAGGGGGGGCCCCGTCAAGCCAGCTGGCAGCAGTGCTCCTTTCTTGGGGGGGAGAGGCGCCCCCCGCATCCTCTGCAGGGGACCCGCTCGCCTCTTGCAAAGGGGATTTGGCGGGGGTCTCTGGTGGGCTCTGCTGAACGGCTTTCAGCTCCGAGTTGGGCAGAGCCGCCACTGCGGGGCTGTGCAAGGCCACGTGCTGCTGGAGGCTGGTCAAGCCGTTGGCCACGTAGCCACAGAAGCTGCACCTGAGCGCAGAGGATGAACCCGGAGGACTCAAGCCTGCAGAAGGGAAGATAAACAGGGGGTTGAGCCTTTCTGGAAAAGCACGGGGGGCGAGGGGGGTGGGGGCTGAGCTCAGAAGAAGTTGTGGGCTGGGCTCCTGGGTCAACATCATTTACCGACTGCATAAAACAGTTGACCGGCAAAAGTCACCTGGCTTAGCATCTTCTGGGAACTCAATGATCTTCCTGCTCTCCAAGAATCCAGAGGAAGCCATTTCTCATGGCTGATTATTATTATGATCTTGGCAATGGCTGCCAATACCAATCCACTTATGGACACCTGTGAATTCCCCAGCCAGTTCATTCCCTACCGGCTATTAATTTTAACCACTGCCCATTTGATGAAACAGGTTCTTCAGAACTCTTTATCAGCCCCGGTTGGGACCTTCTAACCAGGACAGGGACGTCATCTAGCGCTGATGAAACTACCGTATTTTTCAAGACTATAAGAAGCACCAGAGTATAAGATGCACCAAGATTTTGAAGAGTTACATTTAAAAAAAAAGGTTTTTGCACTCTGCAGGCCTCCCAAACCCTCTGCACATCCATTTTTGTGAAGGGGTTGGGGTTTCAGGAGAGCAAAAATG